TTCTGGAAGCGTCTTGAACCGTCTTGGCCCTCTTGTCGGGAAGCCGAACAGGCGAGAACACCCAAGTCTTTCAAAACCAAGCGAAATCACAGATGTTGTGCTTTTGGGGGCCTCTTGGGAGTGCCCTTGGGGGGCCCGGGGGGCGTCAGCGGGGCTGTCTGGAGGCCATTCTGGGCGTCTTGGATCGATCTCCGGGCGTCTCGGACCCCTCTTGGACAGTCTTGGGGGCCTCGTGGAGGTCTTTTGGTCCGTCTTGGGGCGGCCCCACGAGTTCCGGCATCTTTGACCAGCGCGTCCCGGGAATGTCCCGCGGTATGTTTCGACTAGGGGCCGCCACGCGTGAATTGGAAACATTACAAGCTTGCTCCCAGAGATCTTATCACGCCTCTGGCTTGTTGGGCCAGCGGATCATCATTATCATCATAATCATAATCATCATCAGCAGCATCAGCAGCACCAACATCATCATCATCATCACCATCATCAACAGCAGCAGCGCCATCATCATCATCATCATCATCATCATCATCAGCGCCAGCATCATCATCATCATCATCATCATCATCAGCGCCAGCATCATCAGCATCATCATCATCAGCTCGGACACCCCGAAGCCCAACTAGCGCACCCAGGGCCGCCAGCTTGTTCTGAGGTGGTTTGCCGCACCACCCCCGCTGCGACTCGGGGGTTGCGAAGGGTGCCCCTGACCCAAAAGTTCCCCCAGCTTTTAGTTTGATTTTGGAGACCGTGGTGGGCTAGGGGCACTTCTAAAAGCACCCGACTGACAGGGAGGTGTCCGCCAAACCGCCCCCAGAACAGAGCCCTGGGTTCAGTAGGCACGGATGCCCCAAACCGATTTCCCCCCAGGCTGAGGAGGTGGAATTTTGTTCCCTGAGAGACCCCGCCACCGCCAGGTAACACCTCTGGGGGCAGCAGTTTGATGGGAGGGGGTGCGCAGCTAGGAGGAAATTGTATATTCAGTGTGGGTCGGGCGCATGGTGCCTCGAAAAAGGTGCGCGTTGACGCTGGTCGCTGGTCGCAGCAGGTAATTCGATGGAGTGCATCGGCGTGCAATTGCATCTGCACCCGCCAATTGTAAGAATGCGCCACAGATACAGGTGCTCAATGCAAGCGTGGGGTCAGCCTCCCCTTTGCAGGGTGCGAAATGTCATCGGCCCGCGCAAATGCCGGATGCTTTTCTTGGGCCATGCGCGCAGATTTCGAACACAAAGCATCCAACACACATCACTTGCCAGATGGGGGGGTGCTGCTCTCACGCGCCATACCTTTGGTCTTATGATCTGGTGTGCCCCTTCGGTGCTTGGAGCACAGTGAGACAACGAAGTGGCGTGGGTGACCAGTGTAAGCGTTTTGGGCGCGAGCCAGACGTGGGCGGCAGCGGCCGCGCAGCACTGTCGCTGTGCCCGCGTATTGACATCAAGCTGCCCACAGCAAGTTCCGTCGCAACAGCGGCGGCGAAGCCCAGCATGACAGGGCTCGTTTCCATTCCTCCGATTCGATTCGATTCGATTCCATTTCGATGGATTCCGATTCCTCTTGGATTCGACTTGGGGATCCGATTTCTCATTGGACGCACGCTAGCCTGCCGATTTCCGCCGATCCGACTTTTCCCGACTCGGCTGCCGATTTCCGCCGATCTGATTCATATCGTATTCTGATCCGATTTGTCGAGTCGATGTTGGACTTCCTGTCATGACCTCATCACGACCCGACTCCGACTTCAAGGCATCTCTGGGTATCTGCGAACAATAACTCTAACACAACCTCTTGTCGCAACGGTGGATTTGTGGCCAAGAGTGGTTTCAATATGATCCCAATATGTATGTTCCCAACACGATCCGTGTGACCCAGGACTACCCAAGCTGGCCCCCCAGACGACCCCACGACAACCCTAACACGACCCCTTGTTGTAACAGCTCCCCATACGAAAAGAGAACAACCCAGTGAGCCCAAAACGACCCTACGAGAGCACAATCTGTCCGATGGTCGAATGAACGCTGTCACGACACAGTGTCGGAACGGCGCAACTGGGCCCAATCTGATCGCAAAGCGACACAGGCATAGCTTAGTGCGATCACGAGACCTTAGGACGACCCCCCACTGTGATCCTCATATGACGCCACGATGCGCCTAATTATTTGAGACGGCCCTTCGTCGTGGCGGCGGCGGCGGTGGGGCCTGATATGACCACAGTGTGTCCCTAAGGTTGCCACCGAAGCTCTTGTCATCCCAGGACGACCCCAATACTGCACCAAGATGGCCCCACTAGAATCTCAATCTGACCTTCGTATGACACTGAAATGACCCGTGGACGGCCCAAATCTGATTTCGCCCTCATCCCCCACAACCCCTCCACATCCACCTCCCCCTCTGCTCCTCGTCCTCCCCCTTTATCATCCTCCTCCCCCCGCCCCCTCTTCCTCCTCTTCCCCCTATTCCAACACCGACTCCTTCCTCCGATCCGCATCGTTTTCACAATCACTCTGAGCTCAAATTCGGCACGGAAATTCGACCTCCAAGCTCGAGTGGAAATCCATAGCGAGCATTGTCGTCAACCCTCCTCCTGTTCTCAGGCCTCCGCTTCCTGCTCTTCCTTTCCTCCTTACCCTCCTGTCCTTACCCTTTCTTTTCCTCGCCCACTGGTTCCTACCCCACCGTTTTCCCCTCCTGCTGTCCTCCACCTCCTTTCATACCGCGAAGCGATCATGAAGATCTCCAGGTTCTCCTCCTGCCTCCGACGACCTCGAAGCCACACGATGCTAGATCTTACTGGGGCCCTGCATCTGCATCACCCCCCCCGCTGGGCACGCCGATCTCACCCGTGGTTTGGCCGTGCTGGGATGCCGCCGCGGTGGCGAGCGTCTCGCATTCTCGGATGCACACTTCGAGGCGTGACGGCAGGAGGAGGAGGAGGAGGAGGAGGAGGAGGGGGAGGGGAAGGAGGAGGAGAAAGAGGAGGAGGAGGAGGAGGAGGAGGAGGAGGAGGAAGAGGAGGAGGAGGAGCGCAGCAGCAGCAGCAGCAGCAGCAGCAGCAGCAGCAGCAGCAGCAGCAGTGGGTGGCAGAAGTGCACGGCAGGTCCGCGCCGTGCCAACGCGGCGGCGCCCCCGCCGCGGGCCTTCGAGGCTGAGAGCCACCAGCGGCCCCGAGTCGGCCAAGACGGAAGGACCTGGCGATCGCAGCGCCGCCGATCGTTGAAGGCTGAACGATCCACGCGGCGTCAGTAACCACCGCTGGGATCGTCACGGCATCAACACCAGGTGGAATTGTGTGTGTTTTTTTTGATAAAAATAGTGTGTGTGTATATATATATATGTGTATATATATATATATATATGTATGGATATATATGTGTGTATATATATATATATATATATATATAAAGAGGGCCGGGACGGCCGTCATCTGAGGGGGGTGGGGGAGGGGGCCGATGACGTCACGTTTCGCGCCGGCGGCGTCAGGGAATGCCTAGGAATGACCGGAGACGGGTAGCAGCAGCATTCAGGTGGCGATTTGCACCACAGCGCCCGTGTACACCACGGTGCCTGCATGCACCACAGCGCCTGTGTACACCACACCGCCTGTGTACACCACCGCAGCCGCGTGCAACACAGCACCAGTGTACACCACAGTGCCCGCGTGCACCACAGCGCTTGTGTACACCACCGCGCCTGTGTGCACCACAGCAACCGTGCGCAACAGAGCACCGCTGCTGCATCTGAAATTTTAGAAGGAATCCTTATGACAACACGGAGCCTCTGTGGATTCCACAGAAAACAAGTGTTGGATGTTGGATTTGGAAGGGAGTCCTTGTGGAAAAAGGAGCACCGCTGGAATTTACGGTCCTCCCGGGTCCTCCCGCATCATCCTAATTCCTCCCATTTGCGACCAAAGGCTCCCGCTGAATTGGCCGTCGGAGAACCAAGTGGACTGATTTAATGAACCTTTCTGCGGTGCACGCTGAGATGCGCACGTGCGCTGTAGCGCCGGCCCGCACGACGGGGGGAAGGGTGAGGGAGGATGAGAAGGAGGAGGAGGAGGATGAGGAGGAGGAGGAAGAGAGGAGAAAGGGAGGAGGAGGAGGAGGAGACAGGAGGGAAGAACATCGCATGCTATTGTCAGCCCTTCCCCGGCGAGGTGTTTCGCTGTCCGCAGCAGATCCTCATCTACATGTTCTTCTACATATATCCCGTGCACGCAGGCGTTGCGGTGTACATCAGCGCTGCGTTGCACGAGGATGCTGCGGTGTACACAGGCGCTGTGGTGTGCATAGGCGCTGCGGTGCGCGAAAACTTTGTAGTATACGAAGGCGTTGTGTTGCACATGATTGCTGCGGTGTACACGTCCGCTTTGGTGTACACAGGCGCTGTGGTGCACGCAAGCAGTGCGGTGTACACAGTCGCTGCGTTGCACACGGCTGTTGCGGTGTACACAGGCGGTGAGGTGTACACGCGCGCTGTGGTACACGCGAACACTGCGCGAGCACTGGGGTGCACACAGGCGCTGTGATGCACATAGCGTACACATTCGCTGCGGTGTACACAGGCGCTGTGGTGCACGCAAGCACTGAGGTGTACACAGGCGTTGCGCTGCACACGGCTGCTGCGGTGTACACTGGCCTTGTGGTGTACAAGCGCTATAGTGCACGCGAGCATTTTGGTGTACACAGGCGATGTGGTGCAGATCGCCACCTACATGCTGCTCCTATTTGGCCCTGGTCATCCATAGGCACTCCCGGACGCCGCCAGCGCGGAACGTGACGTCATCAGGGGGGGGGAGGGCAGTGTTGATGACGGCGCCGCGATCCCGGAAATTAAAAAAAACAGGCTCGTGGCGTGTCGAGCCTTCATCATCACGCGTGTGGGTCCACCGACGATACCTCCTGTGCGATCCCTCCTTTCGATGGCCTCCCCTGCCACGACGGCGGTCACGGCGACGGTGGCCGCGACGGCGGCGGCGGCGTCCTCGCCGTGACGCCCAG